ATTCGCAACTTCATCCCAAGATTCTGCATGATCCTCCCCATCATCGGGGTAGGCTGCATAGGCGGCTTGGGAATACGATCCCTTCGAAGAAGGTTTGCCTTTGCCATAACCCTTGCCTGTCGATTTGCCAAGCTGTTGAGGATTGCCACGTCCTGTCCAGGATCGTGACCCTTCTCGCAAGTGAGTGCCACTGTAGTTCTCGATCAGCACCTTGCCGACACCTTCAAAATCCTTAGTGTCTGCACAGGCCTTCACAACGAGGATCTCTTGTCGACTGAGTCCACTCAACTCCAACATCAACTCTGTCCTCAAGCTGTCTGAAAACACCATTGTGTCATCCAACTCGCACAACATATGCCACCAACGTCGTCTCCTCTGAACATAGGAAAGCATGGGTTCGCCTGGTTGGCGAGACAAAGGACCACCTTGCTTCTGTCCTGCAGAGCTCCTGGAAACACATGGGATTTGATCTCACCCACAAGTTTCACTAGCCCTCCAGGTTCGGACAACACTTCAAGTCCAAGATCCCTAGCTATTGAGAAAGCATCTCCTCTCAGTCCTTCAATCACCTTGTTGACCAATGGTCCACGATCAACATCTGTCTTCTGCTTGCCGGACTTCGAGGATTTTCGGCTCGCTCCAGACTTCGGAGTCGAGGCCGCTGATGTAGGCTGGGTTGCTTGAGTTGCACCCGACAAATCTGGAAAAGTGGCGTATTCTTGACTGTCTTGTAGTGAAGCGAAGCGACATCTGAACCTCCAAAAGTGGTCCGAACCCCTAGTGTTTTGAACATTTTGCCTTCCAAATGTGCTTCGCGCCACAACGGCGTGCACTTTTTCGACATCTCAACTGCCAAAAGTGGTCCGCACCTGGTGTGTTTTGTACATTTTGACTTCCAAATGTGCTTCGCGCCACAACGGCGTGCACTTTTTCGACATCTCAACTTCCAAAAGTCGTCCGACACTGAGGTGTTTTGTACATTTTGACTTGGAAATGTGCTTCGCGCCACAACGGCGTGCACTTTTTCGACATCTCAACTGCCAAAAGTGGTCCGGAGCTGGTGTGTTTTGTACATTTTGACTTCGACATGTGCTTCGCGCCCCAACGGCGTGCACTTTTTCCACATCTCAACTGCCAAAAGTGGTCCGGAGCTGGTGTGTTTTGTACATTTTGACTTGGAAATGTGCTTCGCGCCACAACGGCGTGCAATTTTTCATCTCTCATCTGGCCAGCTGGCTCCGCACCCGCCGCTTTAGCGACCCTACTTTTCGACCCTCCGGAGCCCCAAATCATTGGGAAAACACAGTGTCTCGCGACTTTCCTACCTTTTCACGCATCTGCATCTTCTTTCTTCTTACGCTTCCTCTTCTACTCTTCTTTTTTCTAATCTTTCTCTTCTCTCTGCCTCTTCCCTGCTCTGCTTTTCATCTGTCCATATTGTCGGAAGTTTGACTTCTAAACTTCCTTCGATAAAGGATGGCATGTCCTTTGTCTTTCACGGCCTTGCAGGACATCCAGAAAGAAATGGAGGAGCATGGGAAAGTCCCGCGATGCTTCGACCTGTTGCTGGACCATGGTTGGACCTGTCCGGTCCTCAGAAACAAAATGTGCCCAAGCTCACTTGTTTCTACTAGACGGTGTTGGCCCCAAGGCTTTGTCGATCCCGCAAACGAACAGCGTTGGTGGTGGCTTGAGGGGGGGAAGTGGATTTGGGAGGATGCGCTCTTTCCTTTGTGAGCTGGCCCCTTGCTAGCATGAAATGCGGAACCTGGCTTCTCCGACCTGGTGTTTCTGCCGAGAATTCATTACCTGTTGGCTTTGTCGATGAACTTGGCCGAATCGGGCCGGCGCTTGCTGACAGGCCAGACCAGGCTGCCGTGCGAAGCAGCTCTTTTTTGGACCTTCGGAAAAGAAAGCTGCATGTGTGGGAGCGGTTCCTTGGCTCGGACCGGTATGAAACGAGCTTTTAAATTTTGCCACCCATGACAGAATTGGAAGCGGATGCGTTCAGATTTGGCCTGGCCAGAGCTTTGTGCATCAATGATGCGACAGTTTCCCAAGGCTTTCAAATGTTTGTGAAGGCTTAAGCAACCGGTCGCTATTCGCTTTTTTTTCGAGAGAAGCAAATGCACGCAAAGATGCATATAGATGGATATATAGATACGGACG